TATACTTGATCTACAATAGCACTAAATAAAACTCGTATCGAAAGAATATGTAAGGAGTTGGATCCATAATAATAATTGTATTCCTTTTAATACAAAATTTTATGTATTGAATCACTTCTTGATGCGTGATATGTAGGCGTAATAATATTATAAATTCTGCCTTCTATTATTGGTAAGACTTGAAGAATCGAGCAGTTATTTTAAATCATATGAAGAAAATAATTTGAGATGTCATCGAAAAATATATTTTACGACTGTTAAAGAGTGGATATGAATTCTATTTTATTCTATTTTAAAAAGGGGCTGATATAAAATTTTGTACACCGTCCTCGAGTCAGTGGAGTTTCAACAGCACGTTGTGGGTGAGACGATGGGCAATAACAAATCTTAAGGGTGTTTGGAGATACTGGATACAAACAGCTATTAAAGTTAAGATTAGTCATGCGTCTGTTAAATCAATACTTCTTTATAATATATACTAGAACCTGTTCCTTAGAGGATGCTAACTTATATAAGCTGCAAATATTCTTGAACATACAAGTTATGGAACCCGAAAATTTTGAACTTGTTATTAAATGTATGGTGGTGTCAAAGCTTCTCTTTTTAAGTTGAATGTGGGATTGGGTGTCTGACACAGGAATCTGATTTATGATAATAAAACTAGTTTTAGTATTCTTTGAACTTTAAGCGAAAATATTCACCTGATAAGTCAAGTTTATTGTGGTGATTGTTTATGGTTATGACAGATATTAGTACTGTACATGGCTTAATCATGGTCGTGGCGTTTCAAGATTTTCTGAAACCTTTAACTGAACGGAATTTCATTTTGGATTAAAGGAAATTAAAATTTTTGATTCCAATGGTTTTCACATTCAAGTTACATACCTAAGAGATCTACAGAGAAGATTTGTCCAACCAATTCATGTAGATATCTGGACATCTAGTAACTAAACATGACGTTTACGACAGTAAACATATAAATATATAATATTGAATTTGGGTTTTGTTCTTTTACTCACCCATACAGGGTGAGTTAATAGGGGGTTTGGCATCAATTGAGCTTTTTATTTGTTTTTTCATATTAAAATACAAACCTCTATAAAATCTTTAATTTGAGACTAGTGCATCGTTCCAATGCACCATTGGTTTGAATGACTTTGAAATTCTTGATCACATTTAAAAGCGAATCTTTGCGTATAAAATTAATAAAATTAATAAAATTAATTTATTTTCTGTCATTGGAAACACAAATGATGAAATCAGTTTTCAGTTGAAAGAAATCCTCGTAAACTCACTCAACACTGCGCAATAATGCAAATGCATTCGGGCACCAAATGTTTAGGCAATATTAGGGGCATTAATATTCACAACAACAACAACAACAACATCAACAATCAACGCATTTCAGCACTTGTCAACACCAACTGCAGCGGCAGAAAGATTCGCTGAAAGCTATTTTACATTTTGTTTGCTTAACGATTGATTAGCCGAAGATAAAGATCGATTGATCATTTGTTTTACAAATTGTTACTTTACTACGACAGTCGATGTATCTGCCAGATACACATGGGAATGGATTCGAACATATCTCATCAAACTTAACCTTTGCTTTCAACTAAAGTCAACTCAACTCAGCTCAGCTCAGCTCAGCTCAGCTCAGCTTAGCTTAGCTCGGCTCGGCTCGGCTTGACTTGGCTCAGTTCAACACGTTTCAACGCAATCCAGTACGGCTCGGTACGATTCCGAATTCACATGTCGAACTCGATTTTGTTTTGTATCTGACGACGTTGAACGTTCACGTTCAAATCGCTTCGCATTATAAATTTTATTTTCAACTGTTGTTGTTTTTGTTATTGTTGTCCGTTTTAGTTGTGCCTTTAACATTTGCTTCATTTGCATCGCTGACAACTCTTAGGTTATATGTTTTGTAGTTCCTAATCAGAAAAAAGGAGATTAAAAAAAATGGGAAAAATTACTGTCTGAATGACATTCCGTAAATTTTTTACACAACTTATAAAAAAAAATTTATATTTTTTGTCAAAACTTCTACTTCTAATAACAGGTGGCATTCCTGCAAACATCGATTTTGTGATTTTTCCGAACGATTGCCATAGATTCTGAAACCACAGTACTTCTCTCAAAAAAAAAGAAAAACCGTCTGTTGTCTATCTCAAAATGTTTTTTAGTTTTCCTACCCCCACAACGCATCGATTCTGCATTCTAGGATGCATTGAAGTGGATTGTGTTTTTCTGAGTGCCTTAGAGTACGACCAAAATATACCACTTTTTCAAATAACAAACTGAAGGTATTTTTTGTAATGCTCCCATAAATCTAATACTGTCCATCTAAATCTTAGCACCCCGTAGCCATATATGACGATTTAGTTGACGGGCATGGATATTTAGTATTTGGTACACTGCCACCTATTATTAAGGCTGTTTATATATCTCTTATTTTTATAACCAAAAAATCATTTCCTGATCTAAAATAAAATTTTTTTAGTAATATTGAGTTAATAATACAAGAAAGGTTAGCGGCCTTATGTACAAAGCCTACGTGGTGCCCGCTGTGATACCAAGGAAATTTTATTAAGGACATACTACATTTTATTGTTATCAATTAAAGATATGCAACCCAATGTTGTTTGCATTTCATAATTTCTGTATTAATAATAATTAAATAAGGAAAGTAGACGGACTTAAAGAATCAATCACCAATCATTCAATTGCTTGTAATGCTCGTCAACTCTATTAGCCGTATTCATATTATATTTAAAGAAAAATTTGGATGATCAAATGGGTCAAGTTTATTATTTCAAAAAGTAAAGAGCGATTTTATGAAACCTTTTATTTGTACTAGTACTCTTTATGTTGCAGATACTTTGTATAGATTTTTCATGTATTCAGCTTCATATAAACTGAAGAAATTTTTTTAATGAATATAAGTTGTAGTACTACATCTCATATCTACACAAGAATATAACCAATTATATATTTTTCGAATCAGAATATATATCTGGCGTAACTCTGTAACTCTTATTTTTCCCTGATTAGTGTCATTGGTGGAAAGAGATATATCTGGTCCAAAAATGTCACCACCCCTGGAACTCCTCTTATTTTTCCCTTGATTGGGTGTCATTAGTGGAAAGAGATCTTAAAAGGGAGGTTGTTTAAATGAATATTACATTTAATATTAATATTAGACAGTAATTTCTTACCTGTTCTTATATGTTACAAAAGTTCTTAAGTTTATAATGTACAAAAAGAAAAAAAAGGATTATGGATTATGGTATTAGTCAGTCTTCATTCTTCTCAGCTTCTGATTATTCTTGACGCGATATATTTTAGAGTATAAATTATTTTGTTGGCTACTATGCATTTGATTATATATAATTTATGATTTTATTGTGTTTGCCATAAATTAAATTATTTGCGTTGCAAGGATGATGAAGGCAATACGCATTACTTCATTAAATTGATTCCACTATGAATATCTTTCTATACCAAAATATTGTAATATTCAAAACTAAATTAATATAAATATTTTTCGGTCGGAAAGTAAAGTCACTGATATATTCCTAATGCTAACAAGAAGACGAAGACGAATGGAATGGATTGTTTATTTATAAGATATATAATTATATTAAAATCAAAGACATACCGTGTAGGAAAGATTTTCTATTTTTAACGTAAAACTTCCATTTAGTTGATGAGAATTAAATTTCTGTAGTCTGTAGTTTGCGGTCTAGGTACAAAAATAATTTATAATTCAAATAATTTATAATTCGCATTTGGTTTAAATTATTACTAACTCGCCAATAATCTATTGCATTGTTTATTTTGATGCAATGTAGTAATAATGGGAGAAGTTTCTTGAAGTAGTGTTTCAAAATGCGTTACTCCAGTACATAGTAATGTACGAAGTATGATAAAAATGATCAAAAATAATATTGAACATTTCGACCTTGTAAGACTGTGTTTTTATCAGCTGTAAAAATTGTTAAACTTTTGGAAATGTATGAAAATTTGTTTGCGAAGTAATTCGCACTGAATAAGTATTTTAGGATTACCTAGTCCTTCGTTTGGATGGATTAGACTTTTATTTTAATTATCTTGAGATATAGTCTAAGTTGGTTTGCAAGTTCATTTCTTAAAAGTAGGAAATTTTGGTTTATAACAAAACAAGTTATAAATTTTATTGAATAAATTTGTGGAAATGAATGATGGAGGAATTATTTCCCGGGCATGTACAATATAGAAGCTTTAATGAACTCAACCCACAAAATATCAAGACATAGAAGTAGTTAGTAAAGCTTCTCATGCCATATCCTTTGTACACGCAATAATTTTATTTATTTCATATATCCTCACATATATGTATATACCCCTATTTTATATCTACCTTAAATAGATAGATTTACAACGACAACAAACTTTAAACAGATAGACTTTTTCTTCCATTTTCTTTGATCTTGGTTAGATTTTCTTGTTTCTTAATTTTGAATGATGCTTTTGGGGAATTACTACCTTTGATAAATTAAGACAATAAATCAATGTCATATGTCTATAAGTGTCATATGAACTATATATAATTTTTAATAGTGTATACTTTGAATGTGATAAAACAAATTCTGCCAAATTGAATTTTTTATTAATATATGCTACACTTAAAATAATAAATTTTATATATTATATACAATATATATTTTGCAATAAATATTTATTAGTACAAATATTCTGCCTTTATGCCTTAATGTATATCTATTTACCACATTATCTAATTAATGTTTAATGTTGATGTTTTACGCAAAATATGTATTTTTTTAATTCTCTCTGTACCGACTATATCGATTTAAGCCAATGATCCGAAGGCACAACATGCATTTATTGAGACCATTTTAATCCAGAATACATAACAATTAATTTTAAGAGTTTTTAAGTAAAATTCCATTAAAAATATAAAATTTTTTACGAAAATTTTAAAGAATATTTTGTTAAAAAAATCACTAAAAATATATCATATATATAAAAATTTATAAGTGCCGACTTTGTACTTTAATTTTGCTCTTAACTGCAGAGTCATCTAAAACGAACAGCAACTGAAATAGAAGGATTTTATTAATATATCCAATATAACAATATTTAAAAGTATTTTTTTCGACATCAATTAAATACCTTTTTTTGTTCTTATAAGTCTAGTCTTGGTCATCAGTCATCAGGTTTATAAATTTCTTTTTAAAAAAGTTCACTTCTTAGTCGCTTCCATATATGACGATATTTATCGTCAAATTTGATTCTTTGATGAATGCTTCGTTTCTTGACCTTTTCGTATTGACCATAGCTGTGACCTGTTTCATAACAGTCGCTGAATCGTTATAAAATCACTATAAAATTAATTATTTGAGATTTTTGAGAGAGTTGGCGCTGTTCCTGACAGACCTTATGACGGGCATTATCTTCTCAGCGAATTCTAGAAAATCAATTTTACCATTTTTGTCAGTGTCGGCCGCATATAGCATATCACAAAGCTCGCCTTCAGTATAATAAACACCAATAGAAGTCATACCACGTTTTAGTTCAGGCATAGATATAAAACCGTTGTTATCCTTGTCAAAAAGCTTGAACGCCTTCTCAATTTCTAATAACGATTCATTGTCACGCTTCCTTTGTTCCATTATCAAGATAAACTGATCAATATCAATAAAACCTTCGCCAGATTTATCGAAAGAATTTAAGATTGAACGTAGTTCCTCATGACTGAGGTTCTCACCAAGCACATACATTGAAGTATTGAATTCCAACTCGGTGAGCCTACCATCACTGTCCTTATCAAATTGAGCAAAAACCATTTGAATCTTCTCCATTTCGTGCTGGGTTAGATTAGACCTTTCGTAAGCCATTTTCAATTTAGTGTCTACCAAAATATTTATTTATTCAACAGAAATATTTGATCGAATATTTTCCTTGTGCAATTTTGAAACAACCAATGTCAGGGATATAAAAAATTTGATAAATAAAAGTAAATCATTTATTTGGTATTTTTTAATATTATTTCAGGCCTACTTTGTCTTTGAAAGTTTTAAACTCAAACGATAGGGAAACAATCATATCATATATAAGTAGGTGAAGCGAATAAAGATCGACTTGCACCAACTATAAGCACAAGTGTAATGGCAAGCACTGCACCATCTCCACCCTTTCCGACAATGCCAAGATCACTCGTATTCACCAGTACCTTTTGTCACCTTTTGTGAAAAGAAAAAAGGATCGACTTGTAGTATTTCTTTAAGAAACGTGTTCAAAGATATATAATCAATTAACTTTTTCCGCATTAAAAAAAGTCTCCATGAGCTTTAAGTGTATGAATACAGAAGAACAAAATGCAATAATATAGCTGACAACCTCGAGAATTTTAGGAGCGGATACACGCCTTTGTGCTCTTTCTGCTTCTCTCTTTCATGGTCTTCTAACTAATTTTTTTAACTAACTGGAACATTCCCTATATCTTAATAATATTTGAAAGTTTATCATTGAAGATGTTGATCGCATTAATGTCTCATTTATTAGGTATATAACAAATCGATTTTTCAGTCAAGGCTGTCATATAAATTGATATGTATATATATCTACTGGTATATAGATAGGGCGTGACATACCTTTTTAATTACTTTCCTCTGGTATTTTTTTTTTAATTCACATTTTGATCAAAAAAACTGTTGATATCTATTCTGATACGAATTGAATTAACTTAGCAGAGTGTTTTCTTTTCAGGATTTAGACTATCAAATAAGTCCTGTGTGAAAAGTATTCGGAATAATTGAAAAAAGCCACGTAGGAAAACACCAAAGAAATTATTTTAGAATACACATCTTATTTCCTCCAAGTAGTATTTCACCTTCATTGTTTGTCTCTCTGAAGGCAATTTGAATTGCAGTATACCGTGTCGACCGAGTTTGACGGTTGATTTTGAAATTCGTTTTGTTTTTAAGGCGCTATCCAGCTATTGCTGGATTGTAACGTTAGATCTTATATTGTGTTTTTAGGATGGAATCCATTGGAGCTTGGGTAGTCATATTTTCAGCAGCCAGCTTTCGATGCTCTTTTGATAGCAAAAAATTAAATTCTTTTAGCAGCTTGTGATGATATTTTTCCCGTATAAAATAGCAGTGATTTTATAATGAGGTGACTTAAATGTTATGGGCACTGGTGAAAATCGAAAATTTTGAATTGTTTTGTCAAAATAATTATCTCATTAATATACTCCAAAAAACGTTTCTTCACCATCCTCGTAGAGATCGATCAATTTGCATATTAGATTGCTCTATTTTTCCATCCATAATTTTATGAAATTATAAGCAAATAAAAAGGCAGTGATGATCAATAATAGCATTCATGAATCTTACCAAAACCCTAATATATGTCTCCAACTAAATATATCATATATATAACACAAAAAAATCGCTGAACAAATATGATCTAAGTTGTCGCAAGTACCGGATGGGATAATATTTCTTGTGTTACTAAGCTCACATCTCATATTGAGTTTGCGGACAGTCTTGTGAGGTCAGGAACTGCATTTCAAAATTGTGGACCAGAGTCATATTGTGGATTAAGTTGGTCTACAACTAGGTTTCTGATTAATAAATGATTTTCAGCCGAGAGAAGTTGCTACTGGCGCGACATTCCAGGTAACCGTCAGGTTAAAGAGCTAGTTCATCCCTACAGTTATGGTGAGGTGTCCTTCTTCAGCAGAACAGAGATGAGCCTGCTGGTGGTATATTTAATTATTAACGCATATACGATTCTTTTCCTTAATCAAGCGAATGTCTCTCATTGAGGGCTTTAGATCAATAACAGTTTTATAAAGAAGTAAGCACGTTAATATTTATGTGAATCGGGATAAATTGGTCTATGTAAATTATATTCATACATTTTTCTTATTATATATTCATATTTCGAGGTCAGCTCTTGGCTTATATTGGATAGTATGTTACCAATTTATTCTTCAATAGAATTAATCCAATGAAATTTCATAAAACCGAAACCGGACAGAGGTTCTTTTGACAACCCGAGCAGTTGAATTCCGAAAATGAAATTAATCGTTTGAAAATATCATGTAGTGATATATAGAATATAAAATAACTGGCTTAAGTGAGCTTAGACTTGTTTGTAAATTTAATTAAACATTGAACTGAAATTTTAGCATAAAACTGAAAAAAAAACTAAATAAATTAACATTAAATAAAGCTTACGTGTGAAAGGTATTGATTGAACCTTCGACGAAGTTAAAGCTAATTTTTCACTTTTTTGTTTATTTTATTTTTTATTTTCCTAAATGTTTACATTGTTTAACATATTTTTGCATAAATATTTTTTTGGAGTTTCAATGAAGTTATTAAGTTTTCCGTCTGTCCGTCCGGGATGCTAATTTTTAAGGCGTTCACTTTCAATTAATATAAAACTTTTGTAGTGAATCTATTAGATTTGAAATAAGATAGACTGAAAAAAATAAATTCATTATATAAAAAGTTTAACTAAAAAACAAATTCAGTCCATAACAAATTTTGATGAAAATCATGTTCTGTTCCTCAAACAAAGTAGCAAAAGTTTTGTTTTTCGAACACGGAATTCGCATGGATCGTATGGATCGCATGGATCGCATAGATCGTATGGTTCTAATTAAATTTAAATTAAATTCAACAAATGGAAATACATAGTAACAAAGAATCGCAATATAAATCAATTGTGAGAAAGATTTTTGTGATCATTTTAATTATTAATAAATAAAATTGTTATAAATATTCTGAAACATGCAAAGTACGTAGAAATTTCACATAAATAACGCGAACCTCAACTGTCGAACAGTCTCAATTCCGAAAAAATGCGGTGCAAGGTAGAATTTTTTTTTAAAGTTGCCTCTATTGTATTACTTACAGTATTGGTAAGACTCAGTGATAATTTGAAAATAGGTTCGAAACAAAAATTTCTCTATACCTTCCCAAAACTGGAAATTCTGAACGACAATCCCGAAGTCATAAACTTTAAAGTGAATTTAGTCCAGGACTCAACGGAATTACATAAAGTGTCGGGGTTTGTCAATTTTTCAAAGTACGCAGATAAGGATTTAAAAGTAAGTACATCTAAAACTATTAGATACACAGATTTTCCGTTTACTTATACAGATTTTTTCAGATTAGTTTCAAAATTTTGAAGGCCAATAAATACAGTCTAAATAGTGCAGATTTTCGTCCTACACTATTGGCCTTACCGGAGAGTAACACTCACGAATTTATGAATAACCTATATAAACCCTACGTCATGAAGTCTGTATCAGCTTGCTCGAATTTACCTCAGTTCACAGGAAAGTGGAGTGCTCAACGGAGCATTGTTGGCAGTTATAAATTTAATGACTGCGCCTTGAATTCCAAGACCTTGCCAAATGTCTTTTCAGAGGGCCTTTATTGCACAATTATGCTTATTAAGCGTTCAGAGGAACCAAAATTAAAAGCTGAACTCAGAGTATTTATGCAAGTCACCAAAGCGTAGAAAGTTGAATCTTTCAACATAAGCGAGCAGAAAATTAATAATTAATAAGAAAATATAGTTTTTTCAAATATTCAAACTATTTTATTATATTATGTATTTTGGAAATCAACAATAAAACAGTAGAAGCTACAAATATTTTCGATGATAAAAATAATTTCAACGTTAAAAAAACCCAAATACTAATTTGATATCAGTTGTTTGAAATTGCAAAGGATTCTATCTTTCTTCCAAGTCTTGTTGGAATATTTAAAAGTAAAAAGATATAAATAAATTACAATACCGCCTGAAACTTTATCTCAAAAGATCTCAAAAGAGATCTCGAAATTAACTGAATAAATTAGAGAAGGACAAAAATCTAAGGGAGCTGCAGTGAGATCAACAAGCTTTATAGAAATTTCGAAAATGACCTTCAGTTGAAGGCCAACACTATGTATTGCTACTATGTTATTAAATAACTGAGCTCTTTACTCAAGATTGTGAACATCTCTACTGTTAAAGGTGAGTATTATTGAAAACTATATCTACTTTACAATAGACGCTACAATAGACCTTTCTTTATGTATTATGTATTAAGTAAGAGTATTATTAGTATTAGTACATAATAGTATGTATTTCTTTATTATTTGTAAGTTTTATTAAGTTAAAGAAACTTTATCAATTCACTTTATCAGATAGATATTAATATGATGTATACTGAAGTAATTGGAAGTATTTTGGAATTTACGTAATTATCACAAATCCAGATACTTAAAATATTCGTGGAGTACCATTAGTATGACTTTCTCAGTATTACGTTCCGAGATTAGATTCTATACATAAGAAATAATATATAAATCATGTAACAAATAATGCCACTACAAACAGAATAGTAAGGCAAATACATTTTTGGGTCAGTTGGTTCAGAAGCGCTGACTCTGAGCTTCAAATTTTGCAGGGCACGAGTTCAATCTCAGGTACTTGCAGTCACAAAAAAAATTATTTACGAATAATTAAATACAAGCATTATTTCCAAGACCACTGATGATGGATATTTAGCAATACTCGAAACAAATAATTAAAATTAATTAAATTCAATTAATTAAAATAATATAAAATGAATTTTTATTCTTGTAGTTAATAATTAATAACGACAGTGAAAATATACAACTATTTTCTTTTCCATGTTAAGTACATATATTAAAATACTTCATTTGGCCTCAGACCATCAATTCTGTTATTAAACATTACTATTTTATATACCATGAAATCACAATTGCTAGGATCTGCTGTAGAGCACTGTTATGGTTATAAGTGGCATTATCGACTTTTGTATACGCCTTACTTTTAACTTACATAAAACAAAATACAAGTCATAATTTTAGAAAATTACCTTTAAAAATTTTCAGAAGGATTAAAGAGTGATTACTCAACTTGAACTCACTAGGCGTAAAGAAAGATTCCTTTTCAATATATTTAAAGAAGTCGAGTTCTTAATAAACGAATGATATAGTCGAGTTCTTCGTCGAATTACATGATTTCGAATTTTACTCTAGTTATACCGTTAGTTCAATACCTTTCAAAAATGTAGAAAGATCCATCTGGGTAAATCAGTTGTCAATATGCTAATAATATGGTAGTTTCTACTGATCCTCACGAAACATAATTCAACCGAACGAACAAGTCCAGAATCCCACTTTATTGTTTAATAAAATACCTTTCGACTCAGCAGGAAATATGATCCACCGTGGTGAAATATAGGTTTAAGTTGTTTTCGAGAAAAAATTGTTAAAGATTTTTTAATAAAGCATAAATCTAAGAGAAATAGGTAATGCTACGGTGAAAAACTGCATGTAGTTCCGAAACCTAAAGACTTCAAAAATCATATTTAAAAAATCATTTGTCCAAGAGTTACTTAAAAAACCTCAGCGCAGAATGATAGGATAAGGAATACGAATTTGAAGGAAAGAATCGTTTAAATTTTCATTTAGCTGCGCATTTTGAAAAGCAGTTAAAATTCAAAAACGATAGCTATATCTTAAACACTGCTCTGCCGTGTGAAATAAATGAAGACTTAGATGCTCAAATATCGGTTAAGTAAGTTAATTAATGCTCCAGTATTTAAATAATTATAGAGCTATAGATGAAATCAGAATTGCAGCTGAGTTCTCAAAATATACCTAGGCTCAATTTATGCCGTTTTATGCTCATTATGTATTAGAAAATGCTGTATAAATAAATAACTTCAGGTGTCCTGAGCAATGTTACAAATTATAGAAGAAAAATTTTTCTTCATATATCAGGAAAAGTACTATAACTACAATAGTGGAATTATTAACAGTATGGGATCGAAGATATAGTACATAACAAGATGGTTCCAAATGTATGTCGATGTGATGCAAGGCTGCGTCTTAAGCCCTATGCTGATTGCTTTGTTCATGGATGACGTAAGTGAATATTTTCCTGGTGGAATCAAAATTGGACACATGTGCTGGATCAAACTTCAATCTTCTTCTTCTTCTTATTTGCCACTATTGTCAAGTGTCAGCCTTTGCCCACCTCACGATCTGCATTCATCTTCCCGATCTTTTGCTACTCTCTTCTAACTCAGTACTCCAATCGTTCTTGCATAACCATACACATTTTCATCCCATTTTATTCTAGGCATACTTCTGTGCCTGTTTGTTGTCGGGTGTGCGTTGTATGTGCTGCTCTACTTTCTCTTCGATTCCATTCTTACTATATGAGCATATGTCCATTGTAGCCTTTGCGACTTAATGTATCTCACTATATTTTCGTTTTTTAATAGCTCTTCAATTTCATTATTTGTTCGTCTTTAAGCAGTTTAGGTTTTCGTATCAATTTGGATTGACCCGTAGATTTGGCGAATTATTTTTCTTTCGAAATTTTTTTTTTTACCAGAAAATATAGGGTTTCACCTCCTTCCCTACCCATTTAACGAATTCTGTATTGCATTTTATTTTGATGGACCATGTAATTGGAAGCAAATTACTTATGAACGCGCTAGGAAAAGTAACAATGCACTTATACTAAATCATACTTCTTCCAAGTGGAATAGGGACGGAGTAGGGAGAATTTAAACCTTTTAAAAAAACATATAATGGAAACGAAATTGCTGGTAGAGTTCAAACAACTACAACTGAAACCTCAATTCGTATTCTATGAATTATGAAATATGTATTCAGACATACAATTTACTTCCATAGGCCAATAAACAATTTTTTCCCTCCACATGCATATGTAAATGTAACTCAATAAAAGAAAGAAATTCGTTAAAGTTAAAAAATGTTCAGAAATATATTCAAAATTATGAAACGTCGTACCATTTCAAAATGGATGTAACATGAAGTACGAAAACTTTTCGAAGAAACACAAATACTTTTAAAAACTAACTTGGTAAAAAAAAATAAATGGAGATACAACAGATAATATTTTCAATTACTTTATATTATTTATATTGTTAAAAATTATTTTATGTAAATGTGACTTGAAATAATTATCTGCCACAAAGAACTTTAAAACGTTGGCGCATTTTTTATATAATTTGAAATCCCATTTTCTAAGATCTATTATCTCCTTCACAAATATTCAATTTCCCTGCTTCACGCCTGTGCTTTCTGGCTTAGATGAACCTAGTCTGCTATGTATTAAGCCTCTTTCTCTAATCTCTCCCTCTCTCTCTCTCTCTCTTGATAACTGGAATGGGGTTGTATCCGCTGCACGCGACTGCAATCTTTCATATTCATTCCTTAGAGGTGGTTTTAGGGGGTTCGATGCTTTCCACCTTTCCACCTACTGCAAAAAAAGGAAACAAAAAAAGCACTATTTGTGGTTCGTAGTAACACCTTTTTGATAACTTTAACGAATCCGTATTCACTGCAAAATATTATGAGTTTCGTTTTAATTTTAAAGTTCCGATTGAAATATCAATTCTTTTCTGTTAGAAAAGAGAATAATTGTAAAAATAAGTAATGGTATAAATAAATAAAAAAAATATAAAAAATATAATTTTGAGAATGATGAGACCATAAAGACTATAGCACTATAAAGAGAAAATGCAATTAATTAAATAATATTAAAGGAAAATTGTTGTTGTAACTCACTACCTTTCGAAATGTCTCTAAAAAAAAGAGTATAACCGCAGATTCACATTTAGCATAGCAGTTACCAATTTGCACTGGCTGGGCTATTTTCTAATAAACACATCTATATTGCATCTAATATAAAATTTTTTTTTTATTACTTACTTCATGCTTTGTTAATTTTAGTCACTTAAAAAAATGCAATTGAATTAATATGTGAAACAAACTATTAGACAAACTTACTCTGTCTCCAATAAAAAAGGTGGTAGGATCGGAAAAAAATTCGAATCGAATCCATGTACATAAGGAAGCTTAAATCGTTATACCATTAACTTATAGATGATCAGTTATGAGCAGATCAAACAAAATCAGGCAGCTAAAATTTCTACTGGTTCCTAATATAAAGAAGAAGAAAAAAAGTAACAAAAAGGACACACTTTCTTTGGTGTATATATCAGACATTGTGTAAAGATGCAGACAACGTTACTTATTAAGTTTAAGTATTAAGATAAGTAAGAGAGGGAGCATTTCAAAATAACACTGACATAAAAATGTTTAATAAAACTTCAAGATTAGAATACTTTCGTTGTTATAGGCTTCTTTGTAATATTATATTCTATTATTATTGTCACCTTAAAGTTGTATTCAAATTTACCGAATTTGACCAAATTTGACCGAATTCACCAAAGAGTCTGACATATATGATAAGAGGCTTGTAGAGCGTGATTTTTGTTTGTCGAGTAAGTCGAGGCTAAGTAGGCTTAATTACTCAATTGCCTATTTAGTCTGAAGTAACATTTGTTGATAAGAGTGATTCTTCTTTAAATTTCTCAGCCGACGTCTTTTTTGGCATTTACGATGTTATTTACAAATACACACACTATTTTCCAACTTCGAAATTACAGTTGTTAACCGTGACAGAGGTCCCAAGACCCCTAGAAAATTTGTTTGCTGACAGAACAGAACCTACAATACTCACAAACATATCAATAATAATACCATACTACATTACTGTTAACTTTTAGTTGTTTTAAATTTTATTGAATAATTGTTTCTTAGTTTATAGGTAAGATCTTGATCTGTTCACTTTCAGATGACAATATGCGGATATATTTTATTTAATTGCGCTTTCAAATTAAGTTACAGATTTCTTTAAGTCTTTTTGTGTTCGATAATTGTTTGATAAATTTCCATTATTTATTTCTTTAAAGCATATAGATGTAAAATGCTTTCTTATTTTAGTTTTTGTATAAGATAATATTAAAGAAATCTTTTTAACACTAATATTATATCGTAGATTATATCGTAGATTACTGTAAAAATATATTGGTTGCTTTAATCCTTTTCCAATCCATACAATTTTTTTGTATCTGCTGGCTTTCCTTCCTTCTGACATTATGGCCTCATAAAAAAGCAATATGACGATATGTGACACTTAACAGCAATACACAGGCCATGTGCGAGTTCGAGTAAATTGATGGTAAATTGAGAGAAATAGTAAATTATGTCGGTATGGCAGCGAATTTTGTAATTTACCAACATTAGGTAAATAAGCTAAAATTATATATACATTTTATAAGATGTTTCATAGATAAGTTTGAAAACTTTTAACCAAAAATAATAAATAAGTGCAATAAATAAATAAATAAATAAGTAAATAAATTTTTACATAAGTGCAGTGCAAAAAATCCCTAGGAAATTTCAATTTACTTTACCTCGATTTACTCGAACTCGCACACGGTCTCAGTAGCTTAAGTAAAATTATCATTAGGTAGGAATAACATAATTAGGAACTTAATCCATCTGCATGACATCTCAAGAAAAAAAAAAAAAGACAGTGAGTTATGGAGCGAAGGAGAGGATGAATTGACAGTTGGCGCAAAAAGTAAATGCCACAATTTTTGCGAAACCAAAAAATTAATGAAAATATTTAATGCAAAAACAAATTTAATGAAAATGTCAAAGAAACAAAAATAAAATAAAATGAAAGAAATATTAGCCAAATAATTGCAAACTTCCAAATGCGCTTACCGCCGGACGCACGCACATATTTAGCAAATCGCTTGATTGTGGCGTGGCGTCTTTAAAATGAAATGATGAGCGCGTGACTCCTTTCACAAAATAAATCATAAAAATTTATTTAAAAAAACAAAAAACAAAACTTAAAAACAAAAAATTCATGTGAAAGAAAATTAAAACGAAAAAAAATTTAAATAAAAAGCCATTTAAATAAATATGTTTACCAAAAATAAAAAACAAAAAATAATAACAACAACAACCAACAAAAATTTGATGGCTGCCCTGATTTTCATTTCGTTTGGCTTAATTTCGTTAATGTTTTTTGGTTAAATCTTCTTTATGTAAAAGAAAGAAATAAAAATAAAAACCAACAACAACAGCAACAGCAACAGCCAATATTATAACAGCACCAAAATTGCAAGTAAACACAAACAATACATGCAGCATCAACAACAACAATAATGAACGACGAAATCAACATTTTTAAAATAAAAAAAAACAAAAAAAAAACAAATACATTTAAAGAAAACTTTAACGGTAATCGACAAATATTAAGCACCCAGCGCATCTTTAGTAAAGGCAAAGAAAAGCAAAAACAAAAACAAAAACAATTAAATACAGTAACAACAACAACAACAACAGTAAACACATAACTTAAATCATGCCCAACCTGTTGGATGCTAAGCTTTAGTTTGTGCTGCTCTGGCTCGGGCTTTGGGTCTGTTCTGCTCATACACTTTCTCCGCTCATTAAAAGCAGCAATCACACATAACATATGTATACCAACCAACCAACATCTTTATACATATATCTTATATTTTAATACAAAACTGTGACGTGTACAGTGTACACTGTACCGTGTACACAAGCACCACAACAGTACAACAGTACAGCGATACGGCGGCGTTAGTAGGTAAGTTGCAAAAATATTTTGCTAATTAATTCATTGCCTTTAAGGCAAAGAATATACATACATACACACATGCATACATACGTTGCAGTAGTACGTTTTGTGCAACAAAATTTTTGCACACACAACACATGCTTCAATACAACACAACACAACACAACACATCCATTCGGACACAACACATAGGTACGTTCGCTGTTAAGTTCTCTGCTGGAGTTCGATTAACAGACCTAAGCTGGTTTGATTTTTAGCACTGTTATCTGTGATGACGCTCAACAGCGTAATTAGCACAAATAGTGCTTAGCACTAACAGCAAAAGCTCACAATAGTAAAAACAACAACAACAACAACGAATTACAGTCGTATATGTTATTTAAGTCATAAACTTCTATGTTAATCGCAACGTCAGCGTCACCAGCAGAACAATTCAATTGCAGCAATGGCAGCAATGGCAGCAATTGTGGCAATTGCGTCAACTGCGTTTGCGTGCGCCTGTGCTCCTCTTAACAATTAATAATAAATAATAAAACTTGTGAATTTACTTACCGGTTTTAGAGTAAGCCGAGCATACCAGCATTTTCGATGCTGCCCAAATTCCAAAATTTCTATGTGAGAAAAAAACGCTTCTTCCACCTCTTCCACCAACCAATAGTGGCGCAGTCAGTGCAGTCGGCGCGGACGCTACCACTGAGTACGCTGCTTAACTCTTTCGTTTACCGTTTAACGTTCGCTGTTAGTTAAGAGTCAACGTCATCGGGCGCTGTCATTGCGCCGTCATCGTCATCGGCGTCAACGTCGTCAACGTCGTCATCCTCGTCAACGTTACGCTCACTCACCACAACTCACAGCAACTCACAGCAGCATTCAGCTATTATTTTATATGTTTACAAAGTGGATTTTTGCTTCAGTTGCCAGTTTCAGTTCAAGCTCGCAAGACGTACCAGTCAGTCAGTGCCTTTGACGCGTGTTCACTTGGTTCTGCGACTGTAACAGAGTTCAGTTTACTCAGTCAGACGTGTTTAAGGCAAATCAAAAATATAAAATTCAATAAACAAATCGAATTCGAATTCCGATTCCAAATCCAACTCAACTTTGCACTTTTGCGTTCGCGTTCAGTCAAAGCATCTGGCAGAAGCTCACAGCATCTGCTTGTGTACGCACGCGTGCGCGCATCGAAGTATTTTTTTTTCTTCAAATTTTTGTCTCAACAAAAAAACAATCGCCGTTTCGTGAACGAACGATTTTTTGTCGTGCGGTTTTTTCTAAGCGATTTTTTCTTCGATCTTGGCTTTAATCCTTTTACAAATTCGCGCAAACAAGCAGAAAACTGTCTTTCTTCGCTTTGTTCCGCAATAACAAAATTATTAAAATATTTGATTCGTTTTGAATTATGCTCCATCGTTTGCCAGCGTTATGCTAATCGGTGAAAGGATCAAACACAAAGAACTTTTTATCGGTTATTATCTATTTGGCAAGACAATTATCTCAAACCTTCTGCACCTATCATCTCTACACCACCCCCTCCGTTAGAAGGTAGAAGGTTGAAAGTAAAAGTGATTTGATAATCCCTCAAAAAAAAAAACAAAAAAATAATTTAATTAACTTAACAACAACAACAAGAAATTCTGTACAAATATAAATACACACACACATATATATATACACACATATATATATATATATTAAAATAAAATAATTTATAAATAATATTGTATAAATATATATAAAATAAAATAAAATAAAATAAAATAAAAATAAGAGAAAGAAATTCAATAAAGTGCCAAATAAGTTTAAAAAATACTATTTAATTATATTTTAATAAATTATTAAATTCGAACCGTAAATCTAAGTTAAATATTGACAATCGCCGCTGTGGTAGTCGTTAAGTCTCTTCTAATTTATCCTTAAGGACAATTTCTTCCTATTCTAATCCTTCAAAAATAAAACAAAACAAACAAAATCAACAAGAACTAAATAACTGCAAACAACAACAAAAACTACAACAACAACATCAAAATGATAAGACAACATATCATCTTTGGAATTATATTATGGTGAGTACCAAGTGACTATATATATGACGTATAAGTGCTTTGTTCAGACACAACTTAATTTCGCAAAAATCTTAATTTCATCGTTGTTTCAGCGAAATTAAGTTGTTTTTTCCAGATTTCAACAAAATTAAGAAAAATAGCCTTAATTTCGTTGAAATGAAGTGACATTTCAAATGCAACTATGCGTAAGATAAAAGATAAAGTTGAGATAACGAAAATGTGAAATTTTTTTAAAATAAAAGTCAGTGACAGTTGCCTGAATATAGAGATAAAACTGTGACTGTAATTAATTTGAAATAGAGTGAAAAACAATAATTCACATACCACCTGGAATCCACTAAAGCTAATAAAACTACTGAATGCCATCCTTTATAGCTACAACAACATTTGATTTGTAAATAAAAACCATATGATTTCCTTAATTTGGGGCAGTAAGAACACTTTCGAAATTAACTTAATTTCATTTTAACGAAATTAAGGAAATCTGGCTGTGTGAACATAGTATATGATTTTGCGTATTTTTATCTAAATTGTTTTTAACCATAATGAATATATAGTTCAAAAAATACAGATATTAATTAAGCAGCAATTTATTTAAAAATAAAATATAGTTTTATGCAAACTCGAATTATATAAATATTTATTTATTTATTATATTTATTAAACCATATCAGTTAATTATGGCTTAACATATCAAAAAATTATGTTGAAAAATGGACTTGCTCTATAAAGAGATTAAATACGAGTATTACATAGCAGAGAGTTCAGAGTTGCTATATAATATATAGAGTAACTGATTCAAACAATTGAAAATAATAGTCAATAAGAAGTCAGATTTGATTATATTACTTTCGTTATTAAAATGTTTATGTTTCCTAGAGCTTTCACAGTTTACAATCTGGTAATCCTGTTAGAACAATTATAAAGTAAACACTTAATTCTTATTGTATTATAATATATATGGTTAGTAGAGCCTCTCTAAAGTATCTAAAATTGCGATCCTGCCAAAATAGTTCTCAATTAATTTTTTTCTTTTTAAATGAGTTTTTAAAAAAAGTTATTTGAATTCAATACAAAATACAATACCATATATTATATATAACATAGGAAAACAGCATTACTTCACGTTTGCATTTTTTTAAAAGTCAGGAGTAGTAGAACTCTTAAGTCCGCAAAGTCAATAGTATATAGTATAGTGAATAGTATAGTGAATGGTGGTAGTGGATAGTGTAAAAAATATTAACTCAAAATATTATCTTTATTATCTCCAAATTATCTATCTAAGGTTCTACCTAACCTTTTTCCGGTTATCATATTATAGAGTAATAACAGTTTGAAAGAAAACAAATTCTATGTGTTATCTAAGTTATTATCCGCCAACCACCGTTGACGCAGTTTTGATACAGTCTTTTTAAAATTGATCGATGTGGGCGATATTTATCTAAGCTTTGTATATCAATCTTGACTGGAATTTGAGACGAGTTGATGTAATTTAATAAATTGCAATATTCATAAAACTGTGATGTCCCGCCACGCTTCCAATAATTTTTAACATGATTTTCTGTACAATTTTTCTATTAGGTAATCGCTTTGTTTTTGATTTGAGATTTGAGATTACAATCGTAATTATTATCTTCTAGTTGCGTATATTTTTGATTTTTTTTTTGTAAAAAGTATATTTCAGTAATAAGACATAAGTCTAAAAGTAAAACAAAATTAAAGCAAGAAAAAAATTGTTTTCAAGACTTCGTACCTGAATCATTAAAATGGTCTAGACCGCTCTGGAGGATCACAAAACATGAAGAATTTATAAAATCGAAAATAAAATTATCTAGATGATGAGTCATCTAGATGAGTCCTTTATGGAATAATGGATGTATTTCTGTGTCATGCGGTTATATCTATAAACATCGTAGGGTGAAGCGAAGACGCATAGCTACGCAAAGCATAGCTTATTATGTCAGACACACAGTTTTCGAATACCCCTCGTATTATGTGAGGAGGCACTGCAAATAATTAGCTCGTCACTGATGTTACAATAACTGTAGAATAAATTTGATAGAGATATATATTATAAAGAAACATAGTTTAGCATTAAGAGGCTAACATCTGTACCATTACTTAAATGTATATGATAACTAATTTTAATATGAAACTATTTGAATTTAAAAAAATATACCATATATATTTCAATTAAATCTTAAATTTGATCTTCTAATTATCAATTTATATAGCATTTTACATCATTAATATATAATTTAATGAAATCGGAATAATGTGTTATGTGTTTTAAAGAAACTCCTCAAATATCTGAAAATATAGTTAAATAAAGGAACTGTATTTTCTTTTCTATATTACTTAATTTTAACTTATCGTACTTACCTACTTTGTAGAAAATAATGTGAGCTATATTTGAAATCAGCTGTTGTGATACCTTGTTATATTTAATCGTATCTCATTAGATTGTTGTTAATTTTAAAATCAAACCTAACTGTATATTAAGTTATTTTGCAAATTTACTCTATTATCTAGTTAACACAAGTTATCTAATTGTGAATTTAATCTACCTCTGTTCCAAAAAAGTTACTGTGCCATTTAAATTCAAAAAATTACACATCACTTTTCCAATAAACAGATAGACGGACATGAGTAAATCAATGTGTTTATATATGGAACTATTCATGCAGTTCTTATAGTCTGATTCATGTAAAAATAGTAAGCACTGCATTTGAATAAATTCACTTAAATGAATTTATAACAATTACGATAGATATATACACAGCAAAATAAGCAATATATACCAATCCAATTGTACTTAATGTAATCATAATATGACATGGTTGTTATTGCAAATTTGTTGTTGTTATTAATATTTGTTTCGAGTTTATAACCGCAGCAACTTCAACCAATTGTGTATGAACTGTTAATGTTTTTTAGTCTTTTTGTAGATACTTTTTGTATTCACATCACTGTTTTTTATTATTAACTGAAATGTGTGCATTATGCAGCCAAATATAGTAAGAACGAATAATAAGATATATAATAACAGCAGCAATGAAGAAGAAATGTGCCGTTAAGAATAAAAATTTCTTTAAAAAATCACTGCAAAAACATGTTCGATGTTAAAAATTAAAAAATTCGTATAGTAGTAATTATAATAGTAATAAATAATAATAGATAACAGATAATAGTAATTTAAAATAATCTTACTGCACATCTTGAAAAGTTTTAAAAGTAGGGGTATGATATTATAAATGGCTCTGGCTGGTACCAGCTTGATCTTCTCTCTACCACCCACTATGACGAGATTTTATGGATTCAAAATGGCTTTTTTAGCTAATTAAGGAGGACTCGTTCCTCCATTCACCACAACTAACTAACTAACTAAATGGGGGTATAATATATTTTTATTCTTTTGTAGTATTTGAGGTACTGTGGTAACATATGCCATAACAGAGTTTTGATGTTAGTTTTTAGGTCTGTTAAGAATAACTTCTTATATGCTACATATTTCATTGCCTATCTACTATAATAGCATGTATGCTACGTAGTAATATAAGTTGAAATTTATAAATATTGTATAAGTGATTGTATAAGTGAATGCGCTATTTTGGTTAACGCAACAACAAATCAACAACTAAGTTATAGGTTGGAAGTGAAGCTAAAACATATTACATATTACATACATACATGTATTAACATTGCAGTCACTGTTTAGAAAAAACTTTTATTTTATGTTTTGTGCTTGATTATATTGCGCGGCTTGCATATACCTAAGAGCTGTTACATTTGAACTGATATATGTTAAGTAGACTTAACACTTTAACATACGTATGTTAACGTATGTTAACTTTTGCTAAAAATATGTCGCTGTCTTAAGATTAAAAATTAAAGCATTTGGAATCGTAATTGCGTTCAATTATTATTTAATGTACATTGAAAATCGGTACCATATGATTCAGGTCTTTTGTGGCGAAATCTTTAGTGAATCATATATAAAATATTTGCATATTTGCATTTAAAATTACGTTTAATTTAATACTGTTTTTATAAACAGAAATGAAAATATTTCTAAAAATTAAAAAGAAAAAATATTTTAAAATAAAATTAATTTAAATATTTCTTATACAAATAATGCCTCTACAAATAGAATAGTATTGATATATAACAATTAAAACTAAAAATATGATTAATTAATACACTTATACTACAGTTGGTTTTACAGTTGATTTCGTTTTAATATAAACACAGCAAGTAGATTTGTTAATAAAAACTTAACAAAACTCCAGAAATATGTGCGCACAGTAGGTTGGGTCAGTTAGCTAAGGAGCGCTGACTCTGAGCTTCAAATTTAGCAGGGCACGAGTTCATTTCCTGGTACTTGCAATCACAAAAAAAATTATTTACGAGAATTATTATTTTCAATACTACTGATGATGGGTATTTGGCAATACTCGAAACAGCTGAATAGTAAGCTAATAATTCAATTTTTTAAAATAATATAAAATGAATTTTTGTTGTTGTAGTTCCCTACTGTTCGAAAAAGCTCAGTATTTTTTAAACTAAAAAGTAAAAACCATTTTTACGAAAATATTTTTTTTTAATAAGAATTTTTTTTCTTATTTCAAATATTTTATCAAAAAATATTAATTATATTCTTTTTGGTCTAAAAACCGCAAAAACTATTTTATATCTTTAAGTTAAACATTTTTAATAAATTTTCCTTTTGATTTGCAACAATTCATTCCATAGCAGCAATTTTATACAGCTTTTACCATTTAATTCAGTGTTTTATGCAAAAGTTCTTGGAAAAAATGAAATCAAGCCACAGTAAAATTTATAAATTTCCATAAATTATATATTTTTTTTATTTAAAAAAAAACAACGCGAGTGTGAAACATTTTGCTTCCTCTTTTAACATAATCTTTTCACTTTCATTTGCTTGTTGGCCTTATCTGTGCGTAAACTGTTTACTTTACATACTTGTATTTTGCTTCATT